TGAGATTTGCTTTCTGTTGTCACCTCTTTCTACTTCAAAACATAGCAATTTAGTTACTGATTCTCTTTTTATGATACAGGAGAATACTAATAATGAGGTCAGTGAATATATGAGCTGCCATCCTTAATGTTGGGCACACTGTAGTTTAGGGGAGAGAAAGGGAACTGGTTGGGATCCAAACTCAGATTCTATTTCTGTTCCTTCACATGACTTGGGGCAATTTGTGTAACTTTTCTGATCTCTAGCCTCTTATCTACAACCTTAGCATAAGGCTGCAGATCTCAAAGTTATTATAATTAGATTACTATTCCTACCCTGTAGCTGAGAAAATTACCTGTCAAAAAGTAGATGTTCAATCAAGTTAGTATTCTTGGCTAACCTATCATATCACCTCAGCACAAAGATGATACTCAAAAAAGCTTAATTCTATTTCCCTGTGCTTTTTATTGACCTAATAGTTATTAAAAAGAAATAATTCTGTTTTTAAATTAATAGTTTACCACCAGACTTTACTGCCTCACAATCTGATATCAATGTACATGTTCACTATTAACAAAGACTTACAAGTATCTTTCCTATGAAGTCTTTTAAGTTGGATTTTACATATGCAGTGAGCTTTGATGTAACACATATCATCATGACTCACTCATATCCTCTAAGAAACCTGATAACTCATAACCAGCTTCATTTCTCTTCTTTGGGCTTTAATACTGGAACAGAATTGTATAGTAACTTCTCATCTCTCCAGAAATCACCTGCCCACCACCCCCTGTTATCTACAATGGAGCACACACAGGGAGTTCCTCAGAAGATGTTCTATATGGAACCACAGTCACGTACACATGTAACCCCGGGCCAGAGAGAGAAGTGGATTTCATCCTCATTGGGGAGAGCACCATCCATTGTACAAGCAACGATCAAGAGACAGGCATCTGGAGTGGCCCTGCTCCTCTCTGTAAACTCTCCCTCCCTGTTGTTCAGTGCTCACATGTCCACATTGCAAATGGATACAAGATATTTGGCAAGGAAGCCCCATATTTCTACAATGACACTGTGACATTCAAGTGTGATAATGGATTTACTTTGAATGGCAGAAGTCAGGTTCGTTGCAAAGCCAATAACACCTGGGATCCTGAATTACCAGTTTGTGAAAAAGGTAAAAACCCTATGGGGAGCAAAATCAAGTATT